GAAGCAGAATACGCTCTCCTTCGGCGCGATCACTTGCGATTGTGCGCTGCTCAGCACAACGAATGCTGCGTCTGCGCTTCTCATCTCGCTCGTAGATCACTGCATACTCCGGATAGACCCTTGAGAGGTCTGAGATTACAAACTCACGCCGGGCCATGCCAGTGCCGGATGTACGATCGCCATACATGCCCATAGTGCTGTCAAAAGTCTTGTCAGGTCCAACCCGCAAGTGTGCTTCGGCATCTGGGCTCTGCAGCACTTGCACTGCCCCCAGTGTGACTCTACACAGCAGCATGGCGAAATAGCCCTGATAGTAGCCGTTCTTGTCGTCGCTGCTGCGCTTGTCCGCTTCCGAGGCATCCTCATGGAAGTAGGCGCCCTGTCCAAACAGCCGGTCCACGTCAGGCTCAGTGGTGACGGGGAAGCCATGCTGAGCAATGTACATCACTTGCTGGGGTGAGGCCCCGTAGAAGAGGTACACCTCGTTGAGCTCTTCCCTCAGCCTGCGGAGCTCCCGCTGCGGCAGCGCCGCCGTGGTGTGCACCGCGGGCCGCAGCGCCGCGAGGCGCTCGCGGCCGTCGCGCGCTTCTCCGCCCGCGGCGCGCGCGAGGGCGATGGCGTCCTGGGCAGCGCGATAGGCCTGCCACATCTCGGAGTCCTCGACGCGGACAGCCTTGAGGCAGCGCAAGCCAACGGTGACGCGCACGGACACCGGGCTGCCCGGATCAAAGGGCAGGTCTTCGAGGAAAGTCTTACTCAGCAACTCATCCAGCACAGCCTTCATGTGGTGGTCTGGATGTGTCTCATGGAATGTTCCGCTCGCCTGCTGGGCAGCATGAAACCAGTATGCAGGCAATGCATCCTGCTCGGCCGTGCAGTCGGCATCTGCCCAATAGCGGTTCACCGGCGACGGGCAAAAAAAATAGTCAGCGCCTTGCCGCTCATAGACCAAGGCATACTCGGGATAGATTTGGCTGCCATGCAGAACTACGAACTCACGATGCAAGGCCCCATGCCGCTCCACCAACAAAGAATCGCAGCCTCTCCGCCTGGCTTCGTCTGCTGCCTCTTCATTCCGGAATGATGTGGTGTAAAACTGTTGTCCCAAGATGACCCGGCAGAAAAGAAGTGCGTAGCAGCCCTTGTAAAGCCCCTCACCTTCCCCGGCATACTTGTCAGCCACGGCTGGGTCTTCTGAAAAATACCCGCCCTGGCCGAACCTCTTCCCTGCCCGGCTGGCATGCTTCACGTGGAACCCACCCTCGACAATCTTCAGGGCGGAATGTGGCTCCGTGCCGTGCCACAAATAGGCCTCACAAATGTCCTCATCCACAGCATGGACGAAGCCGCCCTCCCAGCCACCCTCCACAGCTGCAAGCGCCCGGTTGGTGGTCGGAGCACCACGCCCCTTGAAGAGGGGCTTCCTCCTCCGCCGGGCCACTTCCTGCGCCAGCGACTGGTACTCGAACCAGAGCTTGGAATGCTCCACGCGCACCGCCCGCACCAGCTGAAAGTGGACCTCCTCATTGGAGCTGGTCTCATTCAAAAACCGCTGCAGCATCTCTCTGTTTTGCAGCGTCACCGGGTAGATGTCGTCAAAGTAGTCCTGCGACGACCGGTCCACGCAGCCCGGCGCCTTCCCCGCGTTCTCCCAGTACTCGGGGAGGGCGCCGGCCTTGGGCGCCAGCTTGGCGCCGCAGATGCTCCGGCACGTGCTCCAGGAACCCCAGGTGCCCCAGGTGCCGCGCCGCCGCGCCAAGATGCACAGCAAAATGGCGGTGCAGAAAAACACCAGCAGCGAGATGTCGGCAGAGTCCATCTTGACATCGGCCGCATCACGGCTGTCTACGTCCCTAGGTGAAGATGCTATGTCAATGTCAGGTGTCTGGGTTTTGTTTCTGCTTGGAGGCGGCTGAAACACTGAACTGCCACGACTAGCATGCAGTATCACAAGCTCATAGTATCAATATGCTGCTTGTGTATGCAATAAGCACTACAAACAGCATTGGTGTGGCCCTTGGGCTCCACATGTTCTCAGGCTAAACACAGACCGTCAATACTGCCTGCTTGGGCCTGCCCACAATCATGTGTGTCTGTGTGTGTGTGTGTGTCACTTTGCCTGCGGAGTGGCTGTCAGCCAGGGACGCAAAGCAAAGCAACCCCGTCGGCGCGAGGTGACGGATTCTTCCGAGGCCGGGCCTGTCCGGCCTTCAACTGGCGCATCTGCTCCTAGGATTCATGGCTGGACGTCAAATGCTGGCCTCTTTGATTCCAAATGGGTTGGTCTCAAATCGGCGAATCCAACAAATGGGTGGTTCCTGTCGGTTTCCCTCAAAACAGATGAACATTCGAAAGGAAGACATGCCAGAATTCCCGCCATCCACACTCCACCAGCAACCGGTGGTCTTTGGGACAAGTGGAAGTAGGCAGATCTGACTAGAAGGAAAGCACAAGACAGCCCAAAATTGGCTGGTTCCCTAATCGACAAAGGCGCAGGTTGTTGTACTAAGGCAAAGCCTTCTGACCAACGGCCAAGTGGCTGTATGGTGTCTATAATATTATATTCAAAAAAGAAGAAATAAAATGTATTTTCTGGCTCTGTGTCATACTTCGCCCACTCCAACCATAGAAAAACAACCACCCATACTTCGCCCACTCCAAAATAGAAAACCACCAACCCCCTTTTGGACCCTGTCCCTCCGCTCGTTCGGGGCCGTCCCTCCGCTCGCTCTCCGTCTCCTGCTGGCGCTCCAGCTGATGGAGCCGCTGCTGCAGGCGCTGCCGCGCCTCCCGCGTCTCCAGCTCCAACCGCCGCAGCCGCTCCTCTCGCGTGCCTCGCGACTCGGAACACTGGCAAAACCCGGGAGGAAAATGGTCGGAATCCCAGAATGACGTGGCTGTGGTTGTCAAACATAGGGTAACCCCAAAATGGGGTGCCCTGGGAAATGGGAACCAAGCACTAAAACCTGCGGTCCATATCCTGGTGGTTTCATTTTTACCCAGAACCATGTAAAGAATTGCCAAGGCGGCCGCACCCATTTATGGCTGGGGTTTTCCCTAACCAATCATCTACCCGAATCGGCTTTGAGTGTGGCTTTCGACACAGGCCCCGGAAATTGTTTTGAATGAACCGCTTGGGACGGGTGACCGACTTGGTTCATTCCCCCCCCCCAAAAAAAAGGAGAAATTCTGGGTTGAAGTTCATATTGGGCTAGTCAAAAAGTGGAACCAATGGTTTGGGCTTCCATGAAATGAAACTATAGGAACCGTTTGGGGATCTGATAGGAAAGAAACAGGATGGATGGTTTTCTTGCGGTCATTTCATTTCTCATTCCCCGCTGAGAACCACAAATATAAACAGGACCCCCCCCCAAAAAAAAAGCGTCGGTGTTCGTTTGGGTTTCCCGTTATTTCAAGACACACCCATATGGGCCCTACCATGCTCTCTCAAACCAGCTACCAGGTGGCCAGGTAAAGTGTCTCACACCAGCTAGAATCACCCACTGCAACGGGGAGGGCCTCATTTAGGTTGGGTTGTTCTTATGAGTTTCTTCCAGCCAAGTGGCTCGCCAAACGCAGCACTTACTTCTTCACAGACTTTGACATTTGTTCTGACGGGTGCATGTGCAGATTTTCGGCCCGTGCATCACGTGCCAATCCCTTCCGCAATTCTGAGGTTCCTGGGCGCAAAAGAGGTCCAAGGCACGCTTCTCGCGCTCCAGTTCGTCCGTGCGGACGTGGGGCGAGGCCACCCATCTAGGCGTACCCTGCAGCTTCAGTCTGAACTCTGCAAGTGCCAATATGCCATGGGAATGTCCATGACTGCCATTCTTCAACTGAATCCGACACCCTCCTCGCCCCCCAGCTCAAACTCCATCTCTGTGGCATCTGAAGCAAGCGAAAACCAAGAAGCCCCAATCTGGTCCAGTTGTTCAAGGATTTTTGTCCATCATTTCAGCCCCTCTCTCCCGCCCCCAGCCTGTGGGCTGTCTCGAACATTGCGATGGGGCAGCCGAGGGGTGGAGGAGGCTTTGACGATGCCCACCTCCTCAGCATTTCGTGGGATCCTGTGCAACGCCCTCTCGAGAGGGAAGCCAATCAAAGCCCAAGCATCTCGGGCTTTCGTACACTTTGCAGTTCACTGGTGCCGAGTTGCTCGATGCCGCTGCATAGGGCTTGGTGACGGTGTCTGCGGCCGCGATCTCGGCTCCTCCATGCCAAAGAGGTTGCGAGGTGCAGCGGAGCAGGCGCGTCTCAAGGGGGGGCTGGGCGACGCAGGCGTCACAGGCGATTTGGCCACCGGCGGCCTCGCTGGCCGGGGGGGGGACTGTGGATGTGGGGTGGGCATCGGCCTGGGGCTGGCGCCGCGGACCGGGCGATGGTCGACCTGGGGCGAGGCTGCTGAGCCTGGGCTCCCAGGGCCAAGGCGTGGGCTGGATTGCCCATTCAGCGGCGGCGCGGAGTTCGCCCGCTGAACTGGGCGACGTGGAGACTCGCGGGGCGCAACTGGTGGGTCCGGGCTCTGCCACACGGCGTTCGTGGCAGCCCTGGCTACGGCAATGCAAACATCCGCTTGGGCCTTTGCCACCAGCCGAGCTCTGTAGGCCGAGTCATCCCACACAAGCCGAGGTGAGTTGCTTCGCGCGATCCTTCCAGCCCGCGCCAAGGGCAATTCGGGACTTTTGTGAAGGATAGGGCTGGGCGGCGAGAAGAATATCCCCTGCGGCACGCGCTGGGCGTGAGCCGTCGTCATGCAGACAGCAAGCTACTGGCGCGATGAGAGGAACAGCTGCAGAGATGGCAGGCATCAGATATAGTCTCACGACCACGACTGCAAGACGCTCACCGTCGACTAAAAGCAAGAGGCACATCCTTCAATCATCTTGGAAATGTGTCCGCCAGACAAGAAAATATCCGGTGTTGAGCAGAACATCACACCGAACACGACCAATGCAAAAAGCTGCATGTCTAGCTCTCTCTGAGCAGGCACAGAGGGCCACCCTCCCTCAGGTTCCACGTTCTGCTGGAGCTCGGCAGAGACCCGCGCAGCATAGCCACCGGCCTGAATGGCACTGCAAGAGAGGCAATACCTACAATCGGCATACACCGCCCATCCCGGCCTGAGCCCGGACAGGCAATCCCCACCGGAAGCGCCTCGCGGAAGCACCGTTCTCTGTCACGAAACCAGGCAAGTGTGCTGAATGATCCTATCCAATAACCTGTCCCGTCTCTCATTTACAGCGTTTGCCGCAGCTCTATTTTGCGCGGTCTCTTGGCATGGCATCGTGAGCTAGATCACTCTGCGCTTCTTCCTCTCATTGATCTTGCGGTCACGCCACCTGTCATGCTGTCGGTGGTCTTGTTGAAGCATTGGGAGACATTCCGAACGAACCATCTATTTGCCATTGGCGATTTGATAAGAGTCCATCATGCGGGGGTGAGGTCCTCACAAATGATCCACAACACATTCAACGAGTGAACCGTAATCAAAGCCCGGTACAAAAATGGTCGACCCTGAACCAAAAGAACCAAGAAGCCGAATATCCGCAGCTATTTATGGTTGGGCTCGTCCCTTACTATCCGGATCATCTAGCCGGGTTTTGATTTTGACACAAGTGACACGCGTCACTCGCTTGGCATAATTCCGCAAGACAAAGCCATCAGCCGCAGGCCAGCTGCGCCACTTCCAGTGCTTCTGGCCAGGACCGCAGTCTGCCTTGCTCGCCTGGTGAACCTCAAGGGGTAGATTGCAGCAGCGAAGAAAGGGCCACGTGATTTCGGAAGTCCTCTGAATGAAGCAGAGGGAAATAAAACACAAAGGTTTGACTGTGGTGGCATGAGGGTTTGGCTTGTGCGCGACTGAACTAATGTGGCATGAGCCTCTTCTTCTCTCACACATGTACATGTGCTACAGAAAGGCTCTAAGCAAGGTCGCAAAACCTGCACAAAAAACAGGCAGTGTGGCTTAGCACGGCGCTTTTTTCAATGCCCCTCGTTGAGCCTGCCGCTGGCGATACCTGAAACCGTGTGGCATGACGCGATTCAGTTCAGTCGCTCGACGGGAAAACATGTGGCCATGGGTCAAAATCCAAATCGTACCCCCCATGAACATCCCAATCCCCACTAAAATAGGCTCGAAAATGGGTGGTGAATTCACCTACCCACCAAAATGGGATCCCAAAACGGGTTTGACAACCACAGCCATGTGGATGGCGCACCAGAACTGCTTGCAGACGAGGGGATCCACCTCCGGACTGTCGCCTGCGGCACCCAACTTGAATTGGCTGTGGGTCAAAATGAGTCACCACCAGGAATTGGACCGCAGGTTAAATCGTGCTTTCCATTCACCAGGGTTTCATGTTGGGTACCTATTTTTGACCCACAGCCAATTCAAGAATATGGCCGCGCAAAAGATGCAACCAAAATTTGACACCTGTGGAAACAAAGGCAACCCCAGCTATTCAAGTTTGAGCAATATCACAATTTTCATGAATCTCTTGGCCCGGAGTCCGTGGCATCTTTCCGGGCGTTCTCTGCCGTAGATCAGCTCAAGGTCAAAAAAGGGATCAGGCGAGTCACCACCAAAAATCGGATACCAAAGGATCTACCCAAAAGCATATAACCAATCAGAAGGACCGCCGTGAATCGAGACTGTTCTCTACTCACCTTGACACCCAGGCTTTGATTGTGACTCAGGTGGCTCTTGAGATATCGTGGGCATGCTAGTGAGTGCTTCTCTCAGCTTCTAGCACGCATCATCTTCTTCCGATGCAGGCAGCAGCAGATCTTCGCCTGAGTTTGAGCCGTGGGCATTGGAACTCCTGCTTTCATGGTTGCAGTCCCGCTAGCTTTTTCCATGGAACTGGTGCTTCCTGGGTTCACAAGTGCTTTCTGTGGCATCCCAAGCAAGCTACGCAAGGCGGTGACTCTCTCTCTGGCCATCCATCCGGGGCCAGTGCACCTACCCTGAGGCATCCAAATGCGCGAAGGGATCTGGGCAAAGACCTGCGCGCATTGACGCGTGCGAAGTCACTGCGTCTTGAAATGTGGACACCACCACCCGGTTTGCTTTTTGGTTGAAACCAAATTTTGAATGAAACCGATGGCTCTAACTCAAGTTTGGCATGCCGAGCGAATGCAAAGCATGCGGCATCCCGATGCCGCAGATTGTTGAGGGCCCACAATGCACGCATTGCCTGCGTACAGGAGGCAAGACCTGCATGGCGCTGCGCAAGTGCGTCGGCACCTGCCAACACTCACTGCCTGGACTCTGGTCAACACACCCCTCCCAGCTTTGATGTGCCAAAAACAGCTCCACTTTGATTTTGGAAGGTCAAAACGGTACTTTCCAAACCAAGCCACGCGCTTCAAGACGCACTTTCTGCCCCACCTATGAGGGCAGAGGCCCTGGCTTTAAAAACACCCTGCCTCTACATCTCCACCTGCTTGCAAAGCCTCGGGATCAACATGTTACCGTGACAAACCTTCAGTTTGACCCAAAAAAGTCGACCTTCCGCATCCTTCAGCCATGTGTCGACTGCCTGACTTGGAGGGAAAGTAGAAGATTCACTCAACTGGGCGTGCCGCCTCTGATCATCTGCATCGCCAGCATGATGAAGAGGCCAAGGCGTGCGTTGGAAGCTTGAAATGCGGGGTGGTACTGCGATATCTGGAGCTTGCGGGACGTTGGCCTTGTGTCTGGTTTCTTGCTGTCGCTACCTCCCCATGGCTGCCGGGCGGCGAGCATCGCAGCTTTGGACAGCAATCATCTCGCAGCTTCTGTCCGTGGGAACACTCTGGCCTGAGAAGCCAAACGGCCAACAACGGCTCCTTCTCCTGGAGCGAGCCACACTTTGAGTCTGCTTCCAGTCAGAACTATACCGAGTGATAAAAAAAAGTGCTTGCTGGTTTGCCATGAATCCACCGCCAGAATTCCCCAGCTCGGAAGCAATCGTCCTTGTCGCCGCTGCACATCAACTCCTAAGCTGGCGAAGCCACACTCGAGGCGTGGTTGTGGCTCAAACACATGTACCAAAATGGCACCCTTGGCAAACGGAAACAAAGACTAAATCCTACGTAACCCTGGCTCTTTAATTTTGAGCCACACCCACATGGTCGAGCCTTGAACCGCAGGGTTTCAGGCAGCTTGGCCCGGCGTGGGAGCTCCTGCAAGTCGCCAAAGCAGGGTTCCACTTTTTGACTGCCGGCAAATAGACTTAAACCCATGGGTTTCCTTTTTGGGGAACACTCACCCCTGGGTTTAAGTCCATTTGAGGGTAGTCAAAAAGTGGAACCCTGCGCCAAAACAGTGCTGGCATCAGATCTCAGCCCGTACGACAAAAGGTCACGGGAAACTTGAATGGTTCTGTGTCCTCCCGGAGCCAACAGTGGACTATCACTCAAATGAGATATTATCCGCCGCATCTGAGAGAGCGCCTGGTCTTTGATCCGATTAATTTTCCCGGAACTAGGCTGGAATTAGGACCCCTGCAAAAAAATAATGTCTGGTTAGTGGAAAACAAAAGGGACCCCAAAAAAGCAAAAAAGCAAAAAGGGGAGCTAATTCTGGGGAAGGGAAGTTAAAGGTTGAAAGGTCAAATCAAAGAGCAACCAAAGGCACAGAGATTTCATTGTGAGCTCGGCGGCTGATACATTGACAACATCACTAGCAGTACCAACATCACCAGCAGACCAACATCATCAGCAGCACCAGCATCACCAGCAGCACCAGCATCACCAGCAGCACCAACATCACCAGCAGCACCAACATCACCAGCAGCACCCACTTACCAGCATCACTGGCACAAGCACCAACATCAGAAGCATCATCAGCATCACTAGCACCAGCAAGGCAGAACTGCAAGGGAAACAAACGCCACATCTGCAACTTTCTGCGCAACCAAAACAGCTGTTCAATGAAGTCATGAAGCCTCACTCTCTCTTGAAGAATCGGCACCTAGTCCCTGCCACCGGCCTCCTTTTCCTCTTTGCTGCTCTGGGGCTCCTTGCTGAGATCCACCGTAAAGACAGCCCGCTTCCTTCCAGCACCCACTCTCTTGCATGCCTTGCTCCATAGCCAAACATGTTGATTTTTTTCACAGCTGGGCTTCCAGACTCGCGGAACCTCAGCCGCGACATCAGCGCATCTACCTTCAACTACGGACGGGGCACAAACTCAACGACGCCAGCATGCCGTCCCTCGCTGCCCAGCCTTGCCAGCCTCCTCACCGCCTGCAAGCAGCAAATCTGTTCGAATCATCATAAATCATCTGCCTGATGAACGGGACCCCCCAAAAAGGTTTGGTGTCCTCTTGATCACCCGAAATTGGTCTTCAAAATACGCCGACTTTCATGCGTTTTTCACTTCGCACGGATCTGGGGCACAAGCGCTGAGCGCGGGGATCCAGCGTCAAAGTCGCAGAAAAGACAAAGGTTTGCAGCCTGTCTGGCACCAAATGCCAAACGACACGCAATGAAAGCCGGGGTTCGAGGGCCAATCAAATGCAAAGGCCGCGCAACAAAAATGAAGCCGGGGTTCGTATGCTGTCACATAAGAACACAGCTGACACCGGCAAATGGCATCAATGCTTGGGATTCGCTGGGCTTGAGACTGCTGAGGTCGAGCAACCGAACTGTACCTCTGACAGCATGGGCACTTAGCTTCATCAGAACAATCTTCTGGTTTTGGTTCTGGTTTCAGTTGGCAAGGTGGTTGACCTTGCTGTCCTATCTGCGCACCGGCTGAGACACCATTGCCATTTTAAGCTGATGTTTGTAATCCGTACACCAAGCTCCGGACACCAGCTCCAGGATCTTGTCTAACTCTTTGAAGTGACCAGACTCCACAAGTCGATCAGCCTTGTGAGGACCACCAGTCAGAGACAGGAGACACGAGTCTAAGCTCCCGAGCTTCATCCAAGACCAGGTGTCTCAGGCACTTGAGACCCTCCCTCAACCACTGGCACTTGTCCACCTGAGAAAGCCAAATCTGGCTAGCTTGGAGTCTGAGCAGTTGCCACCACGCCTCCTCTCCTAGTCCCAGTAAAGCATAGACGCGACCAGGTGTGCCCACCTTGAGCATTGATGCATCGGATCGAGGTCATGTCTCAAGATGGTTCACTTGAAGAACTGTGTTCCAATAACATTTGCCGACACAGGTTGAGCGTGTACATGGTCAATACAAGTTTCTTCCTTTGGAATCCCTCTGGAATGCGCGGGGGAGTGCTTCAACCTTCAGCGTTTGCATCTGCATCATTGAGGCTGCTCCGCCTGTTTGCTCAGCTTCGGCTCCTTCAGTTTGGGTTTGGCAATCAATCCCAGCATGTGTGTTGGTCATGTTGGTGTTTGGTTTCGGATTCAACATCCCAAATGTCATATCGAAGCCGCCGATGGCAGTCATCCCTAACATCTCTGTTGCCATGCTTTTGCTTTTAGCAATTTTAGAGCGTGGCACGAGCTCGTGCTTGAGGTCATTTGCCCTGCGTTGTCACTCAAATTTGCCTCACTGCACCTGTGGCTGGTGTGGTGCGAGCTTAGTTGTGCAGCCACAAATGTGTGGAGGAAAACCTTCAAAGTAGAAACCTGAAATTCAGCATTCCATTCTTTTTTTCCGCGGACATCTGAGGTCAGCACAACCACCGCGGGCTTTCTTCGAAGCAGCCGCCTCGAAGCACCCGACGTGCGCTTCGCGGGGCCAGGTCTCTGGGGCGCCGGCTTCTGCTTCTGCGTGGACATGCCTCGCGGAGTCCCATGGATGTGAACAAACTCCCAAACGTTTGTCCAGCAAACTGCCACACTGCCATCACTGGCCTCGGTTTCATTGCAACCACCATCCCACTTCGGCTTGTTGTTGCCGAAAACAGCTCTCTCTGCACACACGCATGCGCTCAGCCCCCCAGCCCCATGTCAAAACGACTCACGCGCTCAGCCAACCTGGCCTCCAACTAGGCACTCGGTGTGCACCGGACTGCCCTGTGCCACCGCGTTCAAATGGGCCTGCACCTGGTCGAAAACCAATTCCACCATTTGAATGGGCAGTTTGAAAAAACGTGGCTGACTATAGGCAGGGGCAAAAACACGTGGCTGGCAACGTGGATTCCTTCGGCGCACACACTTTTTGCGAGCGCTGATCGGCCATCGTGCGGACACTGCAAAGCTGTCCAGCCACCCAAAGGATGGCCAAATGAATTTGCGAGTCTCGCACTCAAGCAACACGTCTCGCCATAACGCGGTCCTGCGACCGACAATGTCTCGCTTGCGTTGCTGAGTAAAACGACTTAGTGTCAGGGGAATTGCTGGATTGCGGAGAAGAAAAAAAGAACAAGAAAAAGGTCAAGTGTGTGTTTTTTGCACTGTACATATGATTGTTGCTTAAAAACTGTGAATACTGCTTGTTTACTACTAACATACTACTACCAACATACTACTACCAGCAGACCCTATGGTCAGGATGCTACAATCCTATGGTCTCCAAAAGTTGCCGGTCTGTTTGCGCACAGCACATCTGACATGGCTTGCTTCGGTCCTCTTTGGTCCGCACCTCATTCTCCGGCTTGCCCTGTCCGCAGCGGAAGCTGAATCACACCCGAGGCGAGGGCTGTCAATGAGACATACAAAGCCAGAAACCAATTTGGCCAGGGGTCATAACCTATGCCTCCATTTTGGGGCTGATGAACACCCATGTACCACCTATTTTGATGTTCACCAGAAATTTCCTGGGTTTTGACCACCACAGCCATTTCTTTGAGAGATCTCGGGGTCGCATGAGTCGCATGGCAGCCTGTGCCACTGCTTCGATGGTCTTGGCATCCACCGACTTCTCGCCCTTCTTGACCTCAGGTGCAGCGATTGGCATAGCTGATGACGAGATGGCTGTGGCAACCAAAAAACCGGAATTCCAAAATGGGTGGCCCGATCGGTAAGTGGAAACATGGGTACCCAACCTGCGGTTTGCCCCTCCTGCTTAATTGTGAGCCACACCCATATGGCGGATTGCGAAATGGGAAGGAGAGATGAACGGAATCCTGGTCAAGAGCTGTTGCGAAATGGGGAGGCAACCATTGCCTCGCTCTTGCCAGCAATGTCGCTCAAGCAGAAATGGGAAAACCTCGGCCGAGTTGGTTTGGGCGCTGGCTCGGATGGCCACACTGTTGTAGTAGCGGACGCCTGGATCATGCTCCGCCTCAGCGAGGGAACCAGGTAACCCATGAGTCGACATCCGGGTCGGGTGACATACCCCAGCGCTGCTGAGATCTTGTGAACATCGGGCTTGGCAAAAGGATATCCGGGAGATGATCAATACTCCGTTCAGACCCAAAATGACCATGGGTAACTTGCCCCATTTAGTGCTTTAGCCGTCTTTTGTTGTTGGTTCTACTGCCACAGCCCTCATGGTCACCCCGTGCTCATCGGACCTTTTGATCAACCCCCACATCGTCTCACATGCGGCTTGCACCTTCGACTCAGAGCCAGGCATTGAAAGCGCTGGAGATCTCATTCTTGATGAAATCGCGGCCCTGCCATGCGGAGAAATCGCTGACAAGGCCACAGAGGGGTCAGAGAAGAGGAAACATGAGAAAGAAAAAAAACCCAAGAGCCAAATGCAGTCAAGCAAGAGAGGGAACGAGCCAGCAATAAAAACGGGACTCTTGACACCAGCTCGATAGCATGGGGCTTCCTGGGCGGCCCAAGCGCGCCAGATGGGCCAGCTTCCGCTCCGCCTTCTCCTTTTTCTTTGCAAAGCCTTCTTTTGAAGCCGGCAGCGTCAAGTTCAGTGAACCCACGCAATATCACAGGGCCCGGTGTCATCGAAACGCCCAGGCAACATGGGATACTGGCACCAAAAGCAGGCATATGTTATGCATAATAAGCAACTATCTTTTCACCAGCTCCTTGGACACAATGCCAGAAATCAACAGAGATTGTAAAGACATCTCCTTTCTTCCCGTTCCTTTCCATCTCACTGAGGCCCTGGCTTTTGCTGCGCTTCCGACCGGCAGCCTAGGCACCCAGTCCATGGCTTGAACCAAATCGGGTCACTCTTGGGTTCCTTAGGAGCCCCTGTCAATAAACCCTTCTCAAGGGTTCACCATCCCCAGAAGCCCAAGTTACAGGGAGTACTTGGGGGTTGATCAACACTCCTGGCCCCCAGATGACCAACGGCGACATGAACCATTTAGAGGGAAGTATATCTTTTTGGTGGCTCTCCAACCATTGGTCATCCCATGTTCATCGCACCTTTTGATCGAGCCCCCCTAAAAAGCGTTTGATGGACACAAATCCCCACCTAAATGAAGTCCACCAAAACATTCCACATTGCTATGATTTCTAATGAGCGTCCCTAATTAAAATCCATCCCCACAGTGAAAAAGCCGGCCTAGACTCCAACTTGTGTCTGGCCAGCGAGCGAAAAGGCGAGTGTGGGGGCCAGGCGCTCTCTGCCACGCGCCGAGCTTCCAAGAGCTCCAGGATGCGGGCCTGCGCCGACGAGACTTGGGACAGGTGGGGTCTTTGCTTTTCGGGCACCCCGTTTTGGATATCGTTGTCAAGGGGGCCCGAAGAGCAAACCACTTTTTGGGGGGTCCCTTGTTTTTGACACAAAGCCATGGATTGAACGCGGCGCCGCGTGAGTCTCAGGTCTCTTCGCTGCAGGAAAAACCCGTCTAAGGCCGGCCAAGCCTTGTCCTCCTCCGTTAGCTCGCTGCGTGAACCGTCAATATCCACTGCCGGTACCTGGTTTACAACGGTGGAATTCGAGCTGAAAGGTCGAACTCATGATGTTGAGCCAAGTCCTAACACCAAACCACCCCAAGGGAAAACTGGATAAAATACATATGTGTATATATATATATATATATTGTGTGTGCGTGTGTCCTTTGTATTATTCAAAAATGGTATACACCCATTTTCTTTGGGTGGAAACCCTCTGGCCTCCTGGCCCTCGCGTGGCTGCACCCCAGCACGGATCTGCTCCCTGCCGAATTGGACATGAGTGAGAGACAGTCCTTCTGCAACCCGAAGATCCAAAGACCATTGGCAAGTTCCGCATGTCCGTGCTGCCATGGTGAACAATGGATCAATGGAAAGCAAGTTCAACCTGCTGGACCAATGGATCAATGGATCACTTGCGGTTCTTTTCTCAAAGAAAGCCGATGGATCAATGGATCCAGCAGGCTCTGCGGGGAACCCATTCAGTCGCAACGGCAGGCCATTTAGGTTCAAATGCACAAGGAGAGTGTGCCCACCCGCAATGCTCGCCTCAGCATGTGCAGCAAGGCGTCAAATTCAGGCTCCTTGTCATCAGCCTCCGAGACTTCCTGAGGCGCCACCAGTCAGCCGGATGGTTGGCATTGCGCAACTGTTTCACTAGCTAACTCAAATTTGAGGAGACTGTCCCTAGAGAATGTCACTAGCTCACTCAAACTCAAAGCTGATGGGTCGACTCGATTCCCGAGCCCATGGCTGACTGCGCCTCCGGCCCATCTGCCGCTTCCGGGGCCTCTCGTGGGTCCGCAAAAATCAGATTCGTTCAGCGCACATTTCGTCTCATTGAGCCTTCGCAATGACACCTTTGCAGCCAACGTGAGGCCCTCCGATTGTGCCATCCTTCAACAAGCACCAAGGCCGTGCCTCTTCTGGTGGCTGGTCAAGCTCTGATGCCTGACAGGACCAGCAAGCGACCAAGTTCGGCCCGTTTAAGATGGTCCTTCTGGATTGCATCAGCGTGTCAGACGCTTGTGTGAACTGGCTAAGGGGCTGATGCCGGGTAACCCTGGAACTGCAGTCTTGCCAACTGTTCAGGAGCAGGTTTACGCTTGAACTGGCTCCCTGCTAGATGACAAAGTGTTAGACAATTGTTTGGAAGAGCAGGTTCCAAAGTTTGTCATAACGAGAAGAAACCACTACACACGTTGCCCTGTCTCCTCACAAGTTCTCAAAGAGTCCCTTAAACGTTACCAGCTCTTTATCTGCTCATATTCCTTCCCAAGCGCCGATCCGACACTAGATGCATCTTGCGCCTTGTCGATGTGTGTCTATCACCATGATTGTGCTCCATGCGGCATGTACGTGCGCCAAACACGTCAAAATTAATGCCCAGCCTCCGGCGCTGGAGATTCCGCTTTGGGCGCCTTCGGATGCAAGAGACAACATGGCCATGGGTCAAAATGCAAATCGTACCCTCAGTGAACATCCCAATCCCCCACTAACATAGGTTCTAAAATGCGTGGTGCACCTACCCCAACATGGGATCCCGCCACATGGCGAGCGAATGACCGAAGGAGCGCCTGCGCCACTCGTTTTCGGCGCCGCCGGCTGGGCTGTCGAGGCCTGGCAGCGGAGTGGGGGAGGAAAACGAGCCCAACGTGTGGTCGCGCTGAGCGCCTCGTTGCTGGTTGGCCCACTTTCTCGTGGCTTGACCAATCTTGTCGCTGGTCTTGGAAACTTGTCCTTGCTTGAGCTTGCCTAAGCGTTGTCGACTGCATCAGCCGCCTTGTCACCTTTACAGCCTCTCTCTTTCAAAGCATGCAGTAGAACGAACAGCAAAGGCGACTCAGTTATTAAGTGGTACGTTTCAGCCATACCTGCCTCTCACCGCCCGCGAGCCTCTGCTCAACACGAGCGTTGTCAACCTCGTACCAGCGAAAGTACACGTCATTTCTGGACTCCCTACATATTGCGAATTGCCTCGACGGAAATTGGCAGGACTTCACATCGGCACACTGGGCCGCAAACAGAGGGAGATGAGCCTCGGCCTCTTTCTGGGCCTTCCTGCCGCAGGACATGTTTTGCAGCAAAAACCCCAGGGCACAATCGCATCTTCAGAGAAGAAGCGGATTCACAAGCTGTATCATGCATGCCCAGGCTTCCAAAACGGAAGCTCTGTTGAAGAGTGAGTGAGCAGAAGCAAGTTGTGAATGGCCTCCGTCGGCCATTGTTGCCTTGGATTTGAGTCAGCCGGTCAGATTGAGAAGTGCTTTAAGAGTAAAGCTAAATCACAAGGG